TCAGCGGGCCACAGACAATTCTTTTAACACCTACCAAAACTTTTTTTTGAGGACGGCCCTCATAGAAATTTATAAGAACCATCACGTACTACGTCCTCTAAGCTTAGCTGTTTTTGCAAAATTTTACTGAACCTGTTCTTTTGTGAGTGCGTTTTAAAAAAGTTCAAAAAAATTTCTCTATCATATTCAAGTATATAAGAGTTCGCCAAGCCGTTTTAAGGGGACCACTTCATTTTTTTTTATTGTTATTGGGGCCCAAAAAGGCTAGTTACGAAACTGTTTACAAACATACATACATCTGTACATAATTTTTTTTGGAATTAATGTTAGATACATTTCTAAAAACATATGGCAACGTCTAGTGATGGTTTTCTAAATTACACCTAACTAAATATTTGTTGAGTTATTTTATGTATAAAATATTTCTATTGACATAGCTTTTTTTTTCAAGAGAAGCTATTTATAAAAAAAATTACCTATTTTGTAAGTTACCTTGTTAAATATTGTTATAGTTTATTATAGTGTTGTTATTATAGTTTATCAGCGTTAAATATCAGCGTCTTAAAAAACGCTTACAGAAAAATCTGTAAAAGCATAAGTCGAAGTTTGTTTGTTTGGAACAACCATTTCTCAAGTAAGGGATATAAAACTCATCATACCTAAGTATATAGTATATAGCCTATCTATTTCATACTAATAATAAGTTTCAAAACATACTTAGCGATGAATACGAGCAAAGCGACGGTGATTCGCTAGTATTTAAAATCTATCAAGGAAATGGTTTGAAAAATTGAAAAAATACAAATTAGAGAAACCCCTATTTGTTTAAATTATTCAATTATCATCCCATATTGTAGGAAACCATCTTACGCGCCATTTTATTTTCTATACTAGAACATTGAGCAATCGAGCAGATGGATGGAGCTGATGCTAAATGGATCGAAGGAACTGCTTATGCCTTGCTGGTTTTATAATGTAACAAGGGGCTTAGCTTAGTTTCGCTCGGGTGCTTCTCTAGGTGCCTCACAGTATTTGGTATTCTAGGATATAGTCTATTTATGTACCAAATTTTATCCACATTTATCCAGCCATTACACACACACAAATGCACGCACGCACGCATGTACGCACAGAAATAAATTTTCGATTGTTATAATAGCTAGTATTGATACCTGAGCCTCTCAAATACTCTTAGTAATAGTTTTGAGAAAATGCAACAGTTGGTAGTTGCACAATGCTCTGCAGGTGTGGCACTGTCTGTATATATATATTTGGAACATTTATGTTAAAGTATTTGTAGTTTTAGAGAAATAACATTTTTGCAGCTAGTGGGCGTATTTTTATGAAATGTTTACTCAAACGTAGTTTAAAATGACGATATTAAATATAGTGATAGAGTAAAGGTGATCAAAATTTAAAAACTCCTATCTACATAAATGTATACTAAATGTAAACGATTGACACAAATACCAACGACCGATTAATTGCTTTTGTAATTAGATTATTTTTATATGTCATTACCTACTTGTGAGTTAAATTGAAATGTATGCCTTAAAACTAGCGACTTACCCACGCTTCACTCGGGTGCGTGTCTAGGTATGCGGATTTTTTTCGCAATTTCATGGGTTATAATTTTTCTTGCGCGGAACCCTAATTCTTCTTAAATAAAAGTTCTTTTCTTTTAAATAAAGGTAGCCTAAGTTACTCATTATCAGCTATCTGATAGTGAAAGCCCCATCAAAATAGGTATATATCAAAATAGGCAGCTGAAACAAACAGACAGACAGATGAAGAGAGAAAAATTGTTAAATTCGTACGTACGTACCCATACACTTTTATTGGTATTTAGTAAAAAAAACTGTTATTTTGACATTACAAACAGACACTTCAATAATTTTATTTATCTGTACATAGAACTTATGTAGTTGTTTACCAAAAAAAATATGTGTTTTTTTAGCAACTATATTGCCTGTTTCTAAAGGGCCACTTATAATTTTTTCTTAAGGTTATAGTTTATTTTCAAGCGATCTCAATTCCAGGTTAAGCTTCGCGATAATAGACAAAAAATAGATAGTATATATATATATATATATATATATATATATATATATATATATATATATATATATATATATATATATATATTCTATATATATTATATATATATATTATATTATATATATATATTTTAACACACTTTTTTTTGTTTTTTTATCTAAACAGTTACATAAAGTAAGTTTTAAGTTCAAGTAAAGTTTTCGGTGACGCGAAGAAAATTTTTTTCCCATGCCCCGAATGCTGCTGCCCCTAAAAATTTGCCGCCCTGGGCACTAGCCCCGAGTGCCCCTAGTGTAAATCCAGCGCTGCGTATACCTACTACTTTAGAAAAAATTAAGATAGGTAATAGTTAAAAAACAGTGAAATCGATCATATGTCATTTTCCAATAAGCAACTTCCCGGACCGGTACGACCAGTAACAAGTAGTGTTATGTCATTGAGAAACACGCTTACCGGGTGTCACGTGAATAATAATTAAACATTATTAACCTTAAAATGTGATGATCGGCAGAATTGTATTAAAGGTTATTCAAATAAGATAGGTAACTTAAATTCGTAATTTTTTTGTAAACCTTTATATACATGCATACATACATACATATGTGGTGATGATGTTGTTTGTTGATATGAAGATGTTATTTATTAAGATATAGGTATAATATAATACTATATTACCTACTACAGGCAGGTATATGTTTTTAGAGCTAATACTATAAAACACAGCAAATTTTTATCTAAATTGGTTTAGTTGTTCCAGTGTTGCTTGAGAGCTCTATTCTATTCCGCAAATGGTTAGTTATACATTAAATGTGCACCTTATTAGTTATTATTGCTACTTTCATCTCTCCCAGAAATTAAAAATAGATAAATTTTCAAATGACTCAAGCGACAATAATTTAATTAAATAAATAAATTTATGTATGTTTTTTTATGTTTGTTACCTCAGAACTCCGTCATTTATTAACCGATTTGGACAATTTTTGTTTTGTTTGAAAGTGTATACTTATTTACTATACATACTTAGTCAAATAATTTCGAAGTCAGTGTCAGCAGATACAAAACAAAGCACACCGATTTCGAAAATATTTGATTAGGTATGTATAGTAAATGAAAACTACCAATCAGTATTTTTTACTTTTTAGTGCTTTTGTTTGAAGTCGGTTTTTATTTTTATTGTTAAAAAGTTTTCTTTTTCTTGATAATGTTTTGATTAGCTTCGAAGTCTAGCTGGCATAATTGAAATATAAATAGGCGTAACGGGTTGGATGCCTTATAAAGCAATAATTGCCATAAAAAGTCCTTAACGCCGAATTTCGGTCACGGCAATCAATCTCACTGAGACAGGTGTGCGAATTAAAATCGGTGCTTTTGTGAGCATATTGAAGTGCCATATGTTTGTGCACCTTTGGTGCCACTATTCCTTTCACTGTTATAGTTCTGGACGACTTCGACACTTGCGGTTAGAGATAAGCCGCAGGACCGTCGGCCTAATGTGCTCTCGAGACATGAGGGAGTAAAACCGCCAGCTTCAATTATCGGGCTGCTACTGAAAATTTCTAGTCAGACACAATACGACCTGCATTCGAGTTTGACTTTAGAATCTGCTTCGGTACATGCTAGATACTAGTTCAAGAAGTAATTGTCAGCCTTGTAAAGATGATATGAATATTCTTTGCAAAGGAACGAGCTGAATTTAACTTTGCATCTCTTTCGTAGCTTTCTTTTTTATAATTTAGACTTAGTATATATAATTTATTTTGAAGTTTCTCCCTGAAACAGACTACTCTACTACATTCAAAATAAGTCCGAGACTCTACATTTCAAAAAAGCTGGCCTACTTATTACTTTGTATAAATAAAAGCTTATACATTATAGAAAACGAACAATTTGCAGACGTCACCTAACACTTATTTTCCTAAAAGTTAATATATGCTTCTAGGAACTTAACCTAGTTTATTAGCAGAAATATATCTTATTATACAATTACATACTTGTGTAATAAAATAATTTTGTAATTTTAGGAAATTGTTTAAACTAAGCGGCTTATCAGTTAATTGGATCCTAATAAAATAAATTTGAATAAAAAATTTTTTATCGCTCTCATAGATTAGCAGTACCAATATAATACTAATACAATATACATAAAAAAATTAGTTTCGCAACCTTTGACATTCGCATAGCAATTAATTACTAATTAAAAAAAAATATAACAATCGCTATGAATATATTATTTGTAAACCTTGACAAGTTTTATTAGATATATTTTTTCAAATTTAAAAAAAAATATTTTTATGTTGAAATAACAATGAAATGAACACTGAAATATATCCAATAGGTTTAATATCTTAATTTGTAGATTCGAATTGATTGATTTCAACGAAAATATTAAAAAATAAAATCATATAATTATAATATGTCCATCGATTTCATAGGTCCGAGAGAGATATTGAATTTTTTAGTTTTCCTTCTATTTAGGAACAAAGATAAAAAATCTTGGTTAGATATTTAAAGTTGAAACGAGTTGTAAGTAAAAAACAATAGACGAGACAAGCAGACTTTAATATCACGATATAACATTAATAATAACACAAAATATTCATATAAATCATTATTCAAATTCTTATTCTATAAACATTAATTAAATAAAGTATAAATGCTTTTTGGTGCGATACTTAATATATTCACATTTTTGCTTCCTAAATTAACTAGAGGCGGCCATCGACTTTGTTGTATGATGTAAAACATTCGATTTACTCAGTGTAGTCATTGAGCCGCATCAAACATACAATGAGTTATTATGAAACTTACATTTTACTAAATATTTTAAGCTAATAATGTTACATATGACAAATTTGTAAAATTTACTAAAATAAAATATTGGTTATTTTATAATATTTTTATACGGCAGTGTTCAATATTGATCTAAAATCTTTCTAATTTTATTGATTTTTGAAAACTGAACTGGGTGTTGTTGTGCCTCCCGAAAATATTCTGAGTTTGAACGGATTGTTATTGAAAGATGAAAATTTAAATGGCGTAATGGTTGCTCGTGTGGGGTTTAAATATAAATCGAATATTGATTGAGTAGTTTTTACTGTAGATACAGCAGCTGGTGTTGTAGATGATGTTTGAGATACCTTTTCTGTACTAGAAGTAGGTTTTGGGGGAGTTGAAGTTCCTTTTTGTTCAAGGGTTGATATTTTTGACGTAGAAGAAATAGGTTTTTCTGTAGTGCTTAGCGTTTTAAACGAATAAGAAGAAGAGTTGGTCACTGTTGGCCAAGTTGACCTCGTTGTAGATTTTGGTGTTGTTTGAGAATTCCCGGCAAATCGTGACGAAGTTTTCGGTAAATTTGTTTGACTTGTGGCTTGAGATTTGTCTGAAATTTCATATTTTTCGGTAGTACTTACTGAGATGCTTGTTATTAGTGGTTTTGGCGTAATTGTTTGAAACTTAAACAAACTTCTTAGTGAACTTGTTGTAGTCACTTTTGATGTATTTACTTTAACTTCGGATTGATCCATAGAAATATTTCTTATAATTGAACCGTTGATTGTTGCACCTCCGATTTTTGTTTTGTGATCTAAATTAGTAAACTGACTTGTAAATCTAGTTTGGCCACGTCTATTATTTGGTGCTACTGTGAAGCGTTCAATCATTGATTTTTGAGTTGTTGAAATATATTGTTTTGTTGTTTTTGGAGCTACGGTCGTTGTTGTTTTTGGAGCTACGGTCGTTGTTGTTTTTGGAGCCACGGTCGTAGTTGTTTTTGGTTTTATATTTTCTATGTAATCTAAATTAAGCTGAGATAATGCTCTTGCTCTATTTAAAAATATGTTTTGAGATATATCACTATCATTACTTGGCAAGTTCGTTGATTTAGCTGGTGCATGTTTTGTAGCCTTTGGAGATACTGCTGTGGTTGGTTTCTTTGTTGTATTCTCTATGTAGTCCAAATTAAGTTGTGATAATGCTCTTGCTCGATTTAGAAATATATTTTGAGATAGAAAATTACTGTCAATATTTGGCACATACGTTGTTTTGGCTGACATATATTTTGTTGTCTTTGGAGCTACGGTTGTTGTAGATTTCCTACTTGCATTTTCTAAGTAATCTAAATTAAATGTTGATAATGCCCTTGCTCGGGTTAAGAAGATATTTTGAGATAAAAAATCAATGTCACTGCTTAGCGCCTTCGTTGATTTAGCTGGCGCATCAAAATTATAATCAAATCTTTTTGATCCATCAAATGTCATCATCCTACGACGAAACTGATTGGATTCTATTTTTCTAGGAGACGGAGGCTTTATACCTATTAAAGAAGGATCAATTGTCGTAGTTACAGGTCGTGGAGTAGTGAATTGCCCAAATTGAATTTTTCCAACAGCAGGAAGTTTGAGTTCATCAATGTTATCTATCTTGAAGTTCAACCAGTTAAAAGGTTTCTTGTCATTGTTGTAATAACTACGTTCAAATTCATTTATATTACTTTCCTTATATAAATCATTAATTACTAAGAATCCTGGTTTTTTATTATCCGTATAAGAATACGTTACCAAAGGAGGAGCTGTAGTATTCTTTTCAAAAGTTTTAATGAAGCGTGCGGCATCATTATATTTCGAAATAGTTTTAGTAGAATCACAGTCTACTATATATTTCTTTGCATTATGCTTACAGTGATGTGGATATACTACCCAAGCTAAAAATCCGTTGCCTTGCAGCCGAGTGTGCTCTTCGTGGATTCTCAACGCACACTGTACATCATCATAAATGTCTTCATCACGGAAAGCCGAACACGGTACACCACATGCTTTTCCCGGCCCGCACCAGTACAGTTCACTAATTTGCAACAATCCATGGTCGCCACTATGCGGGTTTCGCGCCGCGGTATCGAACCTAGACTCATGAAAAGCGATACACACCCACGTAGCCACATCGTCTTTATTTATACCCAATTTTAAAAGATCGCGTGCAAGCTCACATCGCTCGTAAACATGCGCGGTCGCGAGAGCGAAGGCACTTATTAACAACGCGGCCACGATCATGTTAATGTTTGCGCATCTCACACCCAAGCACGGTATTTTACTTATCCCTTCCTCTATATGTACACTACGTGAACCGTGTCATACCCGTATTAACTGTGATTCTAATTATTTGAAATCCGATCATTTTGGAGCATTTATTATTTTTAATATATGAGCAAAACACATACTGGTTTACCTTGAGAATTGTCACGGCGACTGTCAGCAAAGGTTTATTAATTTCGCTTAATATAGACAAGTTTAAATTTATAATTTCGCGGAAAAGCAAAGGTCAGCGGTGTCGTCGGTCGTCTTAATAAATTTAACCGTGCAATGAGGAAAAAGTAGATTTTTGGTTATATTTAAATAACTTCTCATGCTTTTTAAGCAAAATAATTGTTTTACTGCAATTACTTGCGATTTTTAGTTTATTCGAAACAAGAATAAACAAGCGTGTTTTATTTAGTATACCGTATGTTGTCAAGAAATATATCTATACATATAATAAAATTCTAACTAAGTCGAATCTGTACATTAAATATTTTTTGGAAAATCTTATTGAAATAGACATTATTATCGATACAGAGGCCGAATCTATAGTTTTTAGAATTTTTGTCTGTCTGTTTGTCTGTCTGTTACCACATCACAGAAAAACCACTGGAGGGATTTTGATGAAATTTGGTATGATGGTTTTTGTCATATGAACGCGAGCGAAGTCGCGGGCAATGCTAGTTATATCATAAAATAAAACATTCGTATAAGCATGTTTTTAGTGTTACTTAACATTTTTAATATCAAATAGTACGGAGAAAGGGAGGTGGATGTACATACATACGTAAAGGACGTATGGGCACACCGGGTCAAGAGGTTAATCATTAGCCTTAACTGCTTAATTTTGTTAACTAAAAATATTATTTGTATATGTAATAATCAGCCGTTTATTTATATACGCATTTACGTGTGATGGACATATGCTTTGAGGGTCGAATTTTGACATATATGAGAACATTTAAAAAAATATTTTTTCATAAAGAAAACAGGGAATATCTAGTAGAATATATAATTCATAAAATTTCAAAAACGATAAAAACAATGAGACCACATCTCTAAGTCACATGCAAAAAATAATAAATATTAATATTTAATGTAGTAGATATAATTAATGTACTAAGTTCTTTTTGTGTGTCTACTGTTTTTTGATACCTTTATAAATAGTTCAGAAATTGTTTCTCGAAATCCAATATTTTATCTTTTATTTGATCATAAAACCTATATAAATAAGCGAGCTGTGGTCTCCTATAATAATTGAAGGAACACATATACCTAATCTTTTGTATGTTTTGAATGTTAAATATGTATCTTTTGTTGGCTATCTATAGCCGAACCTGTACATTGGATATTTTTTGGAAAATCTTATTGAAATAGACATTATTATCGATACAGAGGCCGAATCTATAGTTTTTAGAATTTTTGTCTGTCTGTCTGTTACCGCGTCACAGAAAAACGACTGGAGGGATTTTGATGAAATTTAGTATAGTGATAGCTGGTTATCCGGGCCAACATATAGGGTACTTTTTACCGCGGCAAAATATCTCATTTTTGAGAAAAAATACAAAAACTGTAATATAAGAGTATACTAATATGTAAAACCTAAGAATTTGGTTTTTGGTCATCTGAACGCAGGCGGAGCCGCGGGCAATGCTAGTTCTAAATGAAATAAAATAAAAAAAATGTAAATAAAATAAAGAGTAAAATAAAATATATGATATATTTCAAAACTTTTTTAAAACAGTTACACGAGTAACGGATTTAAAAGAGACTTTACTGGTGCATCTAGGTCACGTTTGGTACCAGCCTGACCTCTATACAATCGATACATATCACGTTGTATTCAGAAATCTAACAAAATGATTTATGAAGCTTCCTTAGATTTTTTTACCATTCATGCGATATGTATCGTGTTAAAAATTTGAAGTTGAATTGATATATGGAATTTTTTTACTTTTAATTAAAAAAGTTTTGGCTGAAAGATGAAATGTACATGTGTATGTAAGGTATGTACATAGCTTTTATCAAGCATGTTTGAATTCATAACATTTTATATTTTTATTCGTGCAGAAATAAAAATATATATCCATTCAGCATGTTGCTGACGAGCAAAGAGTATTTTAGGAAAAATATAAAAAGATACCCAACCACTTAAAACAAATTTAATCAATTTTTTCTATCAATTTTGTGTCAAAAAGGTTGTTATATTTACCCGACTGCGCAACTTGTTTGTTTGTTCCTATGTGGCGTTCTAGAGACCAAACGTGTAGGCAGATTTTGATGATTCATACGTCGTTGATAACGCGAGTGTCATTGGCTAATTAAAAATAGTTAAAAATGAAAATGGTTGTTTTCAGGCGCTCTTCTTGGCAAAATTTTACATGAAAATATTTTCAGTGGGATACGTGTTTTAGCATTTTTCGGAATTTATCCCATAAATATAAATAAATCATGACCCCTTTGCAACCTCTTTACTACTGTAGCCAACTGTACGCTGAACTGCACCTCGTAATTGTTTTGCACTTTTTACTGTAGAACAATTGCTTAATTAAAGCGTTATATAATAATGAGAGAAAATTGGATTGACCGTTTCCTTCACAAAAAAATAAAAATATATTTTTGAAGTTGTACTTCTTTTGGCGCATTAAGGGAAAAGTGATGAGAATGATTTTTTTTATTTTTAATGTGCCTTGTGAAATATTTCAGTGTCCAAATCGAAATTATAACAGTAGGTCTAGATTGTCTTGCCGTCTGTTCTACGAAATGTGCCGTGTCTTGTGCGTGAAACGAAATAGAACGTTAGTTTAAGTTTTTACATAATAGATGAGTTAATGAAAATATAATAAACCAGCGGCTCAAGCTCGCTTCGCTCGGGTTCCACTCTAAAAAAATGGAAAGAATTATCCCACGGGAAGCATAAATTTTTCCCGAATAAAAAGTAGCCTATGTGTCATTCTAATGTATGAACTATATTACTGTAAGGTTTCATTAAAATCCATTCAGTAGCTTTTGCGTAAAAGAGTAACAAACATCCATACATTCATACATCCAGACATCCATACATCCTCACAAACTTTCCCATTTATAATTTTAGTAGGATTTATTATAGTTGTCATCCTACGAACTGCAAATAAGTATAGTGTAATAAACTAAAGTTAATTAACTTTAATTTACGAAGATCGTCAAAACTAATCAAATGAACCCAGTGTTGAAGATTTTACTAGTAGCCAACATCATCAACATCAAATTATTATACTATTCGCGTTTTACTTGAAATGTTTGAAATCGATAGTACAATTAGAAGAAGGTTAAGATTGACTTGCAAGATTTGATTAGATTATAAGTGAATAATTTTGAAAGTACCAAAAAAGTAAAATAAGTAAACATAAAGTAAAGTGCTAAACCAATTGCCTGATGTAGGGTAACCGAAAGATGATGTAGGGTAACCGAAAGATGATGTAGGGTAAAAAGGGTAGTAAGCTTAGCTTATATACACTCGTCTCTCGCGGTTTTTATGGGAGAACGAAGTGGGAAGAGAAGGGTTGAATAGACGCCCGGCGTTATTACTACCCAAACGAAATTTAATATTATGACACTACTACCTTATAATTAAATTTAATACCTAATTTTTAAATCTATTGAGAAAACAGTATATAATGAACAAAGAAACCAGAAAAACGAAAATAATTGCACAAGTTAATAATTCTGTGAGAGAGAGCCTTTCAGCAGTGAAGCAGGCTCAATTATGCTTACATCAATAGGGTTCTACGTAATATCTTCGCTTTCCAGTCAAAAGCCAATCCAATTAGATAGAACGTTTGCTTGTTAACTATCTCATGAGATGTATCTTACATTTGCAATAGGGAGTATTTGATTTCAGGTGCATAATATCTGATTGTATAGTTCAGGGCTATTATTTGCTAGTAGGTATTCAATCAACGCTTTGTATACCTAGTTGCTTTTGTACATCTAATATTGAATTGAGTTGTGTAGCTTTGTAGCTGTTACGATATTGGATAGTTGTACACGTATAGCGTAATGACTGAATATGGTCAGTTCTACACATGTTAGTAATCACTTGTAAGTTGTATATAATTATTAAAATTATAGCGTTGAATACTGTTTACTTTATCTCACATATAATAAAACTGAGCCGAATCTGTACATTAAATATTTTTTGGAAAATCTTATTGAAATAGACATTATTATCGATACAGAGGCCGAATCTATAGTTTTTAGAATTTTTGTCTGTCTGTCCATCCGTCCGTCCGTCCGTCCGTCTGTCTGTCTGTCTGTTACCACATCACGAGAAAACCACTGGACAGATTTAGATGACATTTGGTATAATGATAGCTGTATATCCGGGTCAACATATAGGATACTTTTTACCGCGGGAAAATATCTCATCTCTGAGAAAAAATACAATAACTGCATTGTAAGAGTAGACTAATATGTAAAACCTAGGAATTTGGTTTTTGATTGAACGCGGGCGGAGCCGCGGGCAATGCCAGTGCAATATAAACAGAAGGTGAAAAATCGATTTTCAAACCTCAAAAATTACGAACTTTCATAGAAATTTTCATTCTATAAGACAATATAAACCTTTTGTAGCTATAATATTATTCGAATTGTCGTCCCTCCGTAGGATGAAAGTGACTGAAATAGAGAGCGCACTTGTATCTGCGCAGTTGGCTAGTCTAACAGAGATTGGCCCCCGTGGCCGAAATCGGTTGGAAGTATATTATCTTCAACAGCGCCACATTTCACTAAATTTAAGTACTAACAGTACACTCATAACAGTATAACATCATATATTTATTTTCAATTTTTTTTAATTTATTTATTCATTTATCAAATACAAAAAATCATTTATACAAATCTAAGACACTCGTACTAAGTGAACTTGTATAACGAGCGCCTTGCCTTCCATGTTGAACAATATGTATAATTAACACCAACATACACATAAACTTTTG